TATAGCTAGAGGGGGTTGAATTTGGAAAATGAAAAAGATATTCATTACCTTCTCAGGGAGAGAAGCTGGGCAGCTGTTGCTGCTGTACTGCCTCTGGAGGGATGGTCAATGAGAATTTTCCAGTGATATGAATGACTAATGGACTCTTAAAAGAACTGCTCTCTTAACATGCAGTTTCAAGTTATTCTCTAAGCTGAGCTTCAATATAAGCCATCCTTTCTTGCTCCCAAATTTTCCCTAAAAGTTTGCCAACACACCACCTTGTTTAGGCCATATTCTGGGGAGAGAAGGGGTTGGGGAAATGAAGAAGGGACATTTCATGCCCAGAAAGTGAAATGAGCGGTGCAGATCAAGGCAGAAAATCAGAGCTAGAGGTAATCAGAAGAAACATATCCCCACCGTCACCTCCACAAAACCCCCCAAGAACCCTCAGAGGTATTGGTAGGGACTTGGGCTTCACACCCTTTCATAGGACAGAGGTTTGAGCAGAATTCTTTTCCATCTCAAAGGTTGGGGAGACCCATAAAGTACATGCGATGAAGAAACTCAAGAGAAAATTCTTTAGAAGGAAAGACAGTATGCAAAAGTTACTTAAGATGCTAAAATTATGAGCATTATTTATTTTCCTCTTTTGCTCACCTGTATTTTGATTCTTCTATAATGAATCCATATTACTTATATAATTTTTAGAAATAAAAGTGTACTGAGGGAATACGTAGATCTACCAGAAAGCTGACTGGTGGTTGCCAGGGGCTGCAGGAAGGGAGGAATGGGAAGTGACTGCTTAATGGGTGTGGGTTTCCTTTTGGGGAGATGAAAATGTTTTAGAACTAGATAGAGGTAGTGGTTGTACAACATTGTGAATGTACTAAATGCCACTGAGTTGTTCACTTTATGTTATATGAATTTCACCTCAACAGAGAAAAATGAAAAAAATCTACTGAGGAGAAAAACATACAACATAGATCAGACTCCGTCACTCTTCTGCTTAAAATACTTCAGGGACTTCCTAACTCTTTAGCATGGCAAACAAGGCTCTTCACGTCCTGGCCCTGCTGCTGCTCCACCACAGCTACCCCTTCCTATACACCTTATTCTCCAGCCATACAAAACCATGTGCAGTGCTCTGAAAGGACCTATTCTTTCCTGCCTTTGTGTCTTTGTATGGCTTTGCTTTTCTTGGAATGCCCTTCCCCTAGTTAGTTTCCGCTCAACCCTCAAAACTCAGCTAAACATCTCCTCCTTTGAGAAGCTTTCCCTGATTTCATAGTCTTGGGTGCCTCTTCCCTTACACCCCAAGAACCTTCTGGACATTTCTTTATTTTATCAGTGTAGGTGATTGTAAATCTTTGGAGGATGGGGCCTGGGCCTTTCCTCTCTTTAGCTTCAAAAGTTGGCCCAGGACAGAAGCCACAAGAATGTAGAATGAATAAGAACAGACTTAAAATCACTGAAAATAACAACCTTTTCTAATGTAAACAGGTGGTTACCCTGGGCATGGAATTGAAAATGATTCAGAGATGTTTAACTGGCCTACTATGGTATTTATCATAGAGGAAGAGGATATCTTTTCTTTTTCCTTTTTATGAATTATTTAGGAATTGAAGTATGATAAAAATTCTGAATGATAGGTTAATAAAAATGTCAATCTAATTAGCAAAATGGTCCCACATGGGGGATAGAGGGTTGCAGAATACTGATGGTTTTAGGAAAATGCCTAAAAACTCAATTACTCTTGCCAAAAAAAAAAAAAAAAAATCCAAAAACAAAAGAGCCATGATAGGTAATAGATAAAAAGAGATTTTTTTTTTGATACCTTGACTCAAGACTAAGATATAGTATTGCTATCTTAGGATGATTTTTAAAAATACCTAAGTCTTATAGGATTTATTTATTTATTTATTTATTTGTGGTATGCGGGCCTCTCACTGTTGTGGCCTCTCCCGTTGCAGAGCACAGGCTCCGGATGCGCAGGCTTAGCGGCCATGGCTCACGGGCCCAGCCGCTCCGGGGCATGTGGGATCTTCCCGGACCGGGGCACAAATCCGTGTCCCCTGCATCGAAAGGTGGACTCTCAACCACTGTGCCACCAGGGAAGCCCCCTTATAGGATTTTAAATGAACCTAAGTTCCTAATGAAATCATGGATCTAGGCAAAAAAATCATCAATGGCTGCTAAAACTATTAGGTAAAATGTTGATGAGGAACATATGTATCAGACTGGCAGCCACTGAATCCACTGTTCAATCTTAGCATTTACTAAAAGCAGGACAGTCAGACATTAATTACCTCCTGATAAAATGCAGTAGGAAGTACACTGCTTAAGAAACAGTCTTGCCAAAAGAATTGAACCTGAATTTAACATCTCTAATCATCATGTTGTGAGAAATATAAAGGAAATAGGAGCATGTTAAATGACCCCATTGAGGTATGAGAAATCAAATCAAGAAGATGGGAATTTGGGACTTCCCTAGCGGTCCAGTGGTTAAGACTGTGCGCTTCCAATCCAGGGGACACAGGTTCGAATCCTGGTCAGGGAACTAAGACCCTCCATGCTGCAATGGTGTGGCCAAAAAAAAAAAAAAAAAGATGGGAAATTCTATAAGACAAATGACAACTTCTTCAATGAATAAGTTGTATGAAGAAAAAGGGAGCGGAAAATCAGAATTCAAGGAAACAAAGATTTGAGACATAAATTTTGAATAAACAAAAAGATAATTTTGAGACAACCTAGGAAAATTTACATGGATTGGGTGTTGATATTATAAGGAATTATTGTGAACTATTATGTCTGATAACAGTGATTATCACACCATTGTTCTTTTTTCTAAAGTTTATTTTTTATTTTATTGAGGTATAGTTGATTTACAAAACACCATTATGTTTTTTTTTAAGTTCTTATATTCAGAGATTGAAATGTTAATGGTGAAATGATATGAGGTCTTGAATTTGCATTAAAGTGCTTCCTAAAAAGTGTGTGTTGGGGTAGATGAAACAATAATGCAGAATATTAATAATTGTTGACTCTGGATGATAACGGGCACATGGATTCATTATACTATTCCTTCCCCTCTCGTGTATGTTTGAAATTTTCCATAAGAAAAAGTGTTAAAGAATAAACCTGACATTCAACAGCCATGTGGCAATGTTTATAAGCCCATCTACTTAGCCAAGACTATGTCATGGGAGATGGCATTGTTGGACCAATGGGAAGATCTTAGGCCTTGGAGTCAGAAAGTCCTGGGTTTGAATTCCAGCTCTGCTACTTACTAACCCTGTTAAGTAGGCAAGTTACTCACTTCTCAGAATCTGTTTTCTCATCCGCAAACAGGGGTAATATTACCTACTTCAGAAGATTTGCAGAATAAGTGAGATGATATACAGAGTGTCCATCACGTGCCCCTCACAGAATAAATACTCTGTGAATGTTAACTACCTTACACTAATCCAATTATTTCCTTTATTGTTTTTTTAAAATAAATTTAAGTAATACTCCCCCAATTTTACTCTCCAGAGGAAGGAACCACTGTTAACAGTTTGGTGTTGGTATCTTTCTGGGCTTTTTCTTTATATCTATAAATATATATAGGAATATGCATCTACATACATACAGTGTGGGTTTTTTTAAAACAAAAATGGAATCTTATATTACATATTACTTGGCAATTTACTTCTATCATGTTACAATATATAGTGTGTCTCTTTTTGTCAGTTCATGTGGCTCCTACGTGTGATTCAATCAGTGTGCCATTCATATGCCTTTATTCCCAGGTATGAGCATTTCTGTGAGATAGAATCCTACAGAATTGTTAGGTGGAAGAGTGTGTGTAGTGCGTATCTTTATGGTACTACAGAATGGCCCTACTGCCCTTCTACAAGTTACTGAGTTACTTTCACATGAAGACCTCAATATTATCTATTTTCTATACATTTCTAAGTTGCATTCTGGAAGATATGCCCTTTCTGGTACCACTTATTTCTCAACAGGCACTGAAAGTGTTCAGAGAATAAATGTGTTTGATTAGCAAAAATCAGCCTCATGGAAAATAGTCAGGCTCCATTCTGCTATTTGTTCCTGTTAGAGAATAATGCAATGCATACTGTTTTCAAGGTTGAATGTAGCGGTGTATTGGATAAAATAAATGGGAGTCTTAGTTTTCTTTGTGAAAAGCCAGTGAACATTATTTGAGGCAGAATCCTGAGAGAAAGCAGGGAAATAAAACCTCCTCTCAAATGAGGTCCCAGTGAATGGCAGCCGTGGAAAAGTGGATGAGTAAAGAAAGGGGAAGGAAAGTCTGCCTTGATTCCCTGGGGAGTTCAAGATCTCACTTTCCCCCCCTGTTGTTCTAGTGACTTTTAGAGAGGACAATTCTAGAGAAGGATGGTTTCAAAAAGAAAAGAAATCCAAATGGAATCCAATTTGGCCTTACTTATGTCAGAGCACCTGCCATGTGGTGTACAATAGTCCCAGGCAGAACTCCTAAGAAAGATCACTTTGTAAACCATCCTTCTGCTGTGCGAGTTCAACAATTGTCCTTTGTCCATGCAGCCCTCCCATCATCCCGCTATGGAGTTGCTGGTCCAAACCACTGTAGTAAGGTTTGGGCAAGAAGAAATTATTCCATTGTCTTTTAAAAGTTAGATCAATAAGGGTGATATCATTCATGATGTATGGCTTTCCCTGGGTCCCAGCTGTTCCAGATGTAGGAGATCATGTGCTACCCCATTGCTGGATATATTTCTCCAGATCCGTAGGCAATATGGGCACATAGAAGATGACCTGTGTCAGATGAGAATCTACTTAAGCCCCCCAAATGCTGACTTTTCTTTTAGGTGAAGTGCAATCAACATTTTGCTTAGTGACTTTTAAAACAATGCATGTAAAAAAAATAAATGTACTGTTCTTTCTTGCACTTAGAGTTAGGTTTTAAATACAAGGTACTAACTCAATTCATTGCATTTGACCTCCAGAACACTTTTTGTCTCTAATTCCTTTTTTAGTCCTGAATCAGTCTTTTGCCAGCGACAGAGGGGTCGACCACAACAAATGGGCAGTTTGCACATGAGACTTAATGTACAACTCCTTGTTCGTTTTTCCTTGACAGGTAACTTTAATTATTTTGACAAATATTTAATGTGCCAGGTATTGTCCTAGGTGCTAAGGATAAAGCAGAAGAAAACAACAAAAATTCTTGCCTTTGTGGGTTTACATGCTAGTTGGGAAGCTTCATTCATTCATTCACTCAATTATTCCACAAGCATTTATTGATCTTCTAATACAACTCAGGCCTTAAACTACATACTGTGCCTAAATAGGATTTTATCCCTGCCCTCAGAGTCTAGTGGGAGAAATAAGACTTGTCCCCTGTCCTCCCCTGCTGCCTGCCATATACCCTCATATATAGAAAGTACAGAAGAGGGGCACCTTGTTCAGGTTGAGTGGTTCAAAGAATGTTTCTCAGAGAAACATGTAAACAAGCAAGTAAGTTGAGGCTGGAAGAACGAACTGATGGGGGAGAAAGGCAGACCTGGTGGTGATGAGACGGAGCATGGCATAGGGCCTGGGCCAGATGAGGAGACCAATGAATGCTGTTGAATGAATGAATGAAACTTCCCCAGGAGAGCATAGACTCCATGAGATATGTTCTGGGAACTGCAAGTTCCTTCCAATGGCTGAAGTTTAAGGTGTGTGGGGATGAGAAGCAGGAGACGGGGCTGGGGAAGGAGGCAGGGTTGGGGCTTGAGGTAGGTCTGGCTAAGGAGGTTTGTCCTGATGACAATTAGAAAATTTGTGGATCAATTTAAATGGCAATATGACATGGTCTGATTGGTTTATTCTTTTCTTAATAAAAATGTATTTTAAAAATTCCACAAATGACATATGTTTATTTTAGATGACTCTTATGGACTTTTTGTGGGAGCAATGATTTCATTATACTATTTTTGTAAATGGTACTTTGCATATCTCTTTCTGCTTCACAGTGGAAGGACATTGGACCTGACATACAGAAGTCTCTCAGTAAAGATTTGCTGTTTTTGAAATTCCATGGACACTGGTAAGTTGCAGTCAGCTTAGGTGAGGCCATGATCTGGCCCAGTTGTGCCACTCCAAGAAACTGGAGTTTCATTACCTAACTAGGAATATTTAACAATTCCCCCTGCTGCGTCATTGCCACTGTGTTTTTTTATCTCCATTTTTGTCACTTTTTATTATGCAAAAATCCAAATATTAATGTATGTAAAAATAGAAAGGGTAGTATAAGAAACCCTCATATAGCCACCACCCAACGTCAACAATGAACAACTTACAGCCAATCTTGTCTCATTTATATCCTTTCCTCTTCCCGACCACTGCATTATTTTGAAGTAAATCCAAGACATCAGATCTTTTTGTATGTATCTCTAAAAGATAAGAACTTGTTTAAAAACATATCCATAATTATTACAACTAACAAAATAAGGAGTTATTCTTTACTGTCATTAAACATACAGTCAGTGCTCAAATTCCAACTGTCTCTCTTTTTCTTAAAGTTGGCTTATTTGAATCATGAGTTAAAGTCCACATTTGTATTGGGTTGTATACGTTTTCTTTAATTAATAGCTTCCCTCTTTTTCTTTTTTTTTTCTTACCTTGCTTGTTATTTATTTAACTAAAGACTCTTAACAGAATGGTTAAGTTGAAAATAGCACTTTAAGTGTGCCATTTTCCTTCATGCTCACCTTCACTAGGTTTTTTTTTAACACCTGATAATTTTTAAGGTACAAAACTGTATCTCATTATTGCACAACATTATTTTAATTTGAAAATCATGTCTAATGTTGCCTTTATTTATTTATTTTTTTTTGCGGTACGCGGGCCTCTCACTGTTGTGGCCTCTCCCGTTGCGGAGCACAGGCTCCGGACGCGCAGGCTCAGCGGCCATGGCTCACGGGCCCAGCCGCTCCGGGGCATGTGGGATCTTCCCGAACCGGGGCACAAACCCGTGTGCCCTGCATCAGCAGGCGGACCCTCAACCACTGCGCCACTGGGGAAGCCCTAAAGTTGCCTTTTTTTTATCCTGTCAGCTTTATCCAACCACTGAGACACGTGGTGATCACACCATATACCAAAATGAGTTCTAGATGGAATAAAGGGTTACATATGAACAAATAAAACCATAAAAAACTAAAATAAAATATAATATTGAACATATTTTTGGAAAGGGAATATGTTACCTAAACATGAAAGCAATGGAAAATGTCACAAAGAAAAGTATCAATAAAATCAAGTATATGCTGTTAAAACTTTTTGGTCAACAAACACAAAATGAAAGGACAAATGATAAACTGGGTGGGGGAAATAGTTACCATCTATGAGAGACAATAGTTTAGTAGCTTTAATACACATGGTCTTGTCTAGATTGTCACTGGGTCCGGATGGGTCCACTCACAAGATGACACCAAGTTGAGATTCTTTAGACTCTATCTTCTTTTTTATTTTTATTATTTTTTTCTTTTTTAAAAAATTTTTATTGGAGTATAGTTGATTTACAATGCTGTGTTAGTTTCAGGTATACAGCAAAGTGAATCCGTTATACATATACATATATCCACTCTTTTTTAGATTCTTTTCCCATATAGGTCATTATAAAGTACTGAGTTCCCTGTGCTATACAGTAGGTCCTTATTTGTTATCTGTTTTATATATAGTAGTTTGTATCTGCTAATCCCAAACTTCCAATTTATCCCTCCCTCACCCTCCTCTTTGGTAACCATAAGTTTGTTTTGGTTGTGACTATTTCTGTTTTGTAAATAAGTTCATTTGTACCATTTTTTTAGATTCCACATATAAGCAATATCATATGATCTGGAAGCTGTATTTTTTTCTCTAGATCTCCTGCCCCAGTTATTCACTTGAGAAATGTTAAGAGTGAGGGTAAGAGTCCTAACATTTAGTCCCTCTGTTCTGTCTGTTGGTTTCACCATCCTTCTGCTCTGTTGACCCCAGGAGCTCTGCTGGGCCACTGCTGACCTCCTTCCCATCACTGACATCTGTCTTTCTTCTTCTCCTCTAGCAATCAGGAAAACACTTTCTACTCCTTATGACTGACTACTGTCAAAGGAGCTTCCTGCAAAAGAGCTTCTGGGCCCCTAATGACCCAGTTAATTTTGTTAGACCACAGACCTTCTGTCCCTGAACTCACAAGCACTCTTAGGAGGAAGGAAGAAGGGTGAAAGTGCAAGTCAGAGGATGATCAGGCCCCTGTGGTAGCTAAAACTTTACCCTCTCTGACTCTCAGGATCTGCTACATAAATTATTTCCTGGCCACAAGTGACAGAAGCTGATGCTGGCAGATTAGGCAGAAAAGGGATTTATTTAAAGGATATTGGGTAACTCATAGAATTGTTGGGAAGACTGGAGGAAACAATTTTGAGGCTAAGTTTCCAGGAAAATCCCCCCAAATTAGTAGCACAGCTGGCCTAATAAGCACACTGAAGCCAATGCCCTGTCACCACTCAGTAACCATATGCTGCCAGGAACTCAATTTGACTGCAACCACTGCTGCCAAAGGCATCAGTGTTACTTCTGTACCAGGAACTCACCTTACAGACCATTCCAGTTTCCCCAAACCACATAGCTCTGCTACCCCCTCACCAGCAAAAGGAGTGCACTCTGCAGCCTTTCCCCTCTCACTGCCACTTTCTTCACCAGAATCTCACACAAATGCATCTGATTAGAGGAGCATAAGTCACATGCCTGTGTCCTAACTGCAAAGGAGAGGGACGGGAATGAGCATTTTGCATTCTAACTTAGTGGTACTCAGAAAGGGAAAATTCTCCTAACATCAGAAGGGTGTTCAAAAGGCAGTGGATACCAAAAGACCAGGACAAATGTTTAGCAGAATGAATGACTTAGGCTGGGTATGGCATGGGGTGGTCACTTACAGATAGGGTGGCCTTATACCTACTAATTAAAATATGGACTGAGTTATAATATGGAACGACATACAAGGTTATTTGTGGAGGCATTATTTTTAATAGCAAAATATTGGAAACTATCCAAATGTTCAGCAATAGAGGTTTGATTGAATAAAAATCATGGTACATCAATACACACATGGAAGACAATGCACCTGAATGAAGGGGAAGGAATGATCTCTAGAATATATAAGCGAAAGAAGCAAAATAGAGAATAGTATGTGTAGCACCTGTCTATTCTGTAAGAAAGGTGGGGATATATTTATGGTTCAACCACAGAAATTGCCATTTTTGCTGATAAAATGGTTAATCTTTAGCAATTTCATACAATTCAACATAATACAGGGCAGAGGAGACAAGGATGGAAAAAAGACTTTTCTGAATATATTTATTATGCATTTTTGACTTTGGAATCATATAAATGTGTTTTACGCATTCAAAATTAAATTTAATTTAAACGGACAATTCCTAAGGTTTTAAAACAAACCAAAAACAATGAACTTAACTGTATATGAAGTTAATTAGTAGCTGCACAGAGAGGACAATTATTTCAAGTGACTCTACAATGTGGTATATTTGCTGTACATACGTAGTGGGATATATTTTAAGGGAGAATAGAGCTGCAAAGAAATCTAACACTGCACTCAATAGTTATGTCACTAGTAGGTCTTTACATTAGTTTTTTTTTTGGTTTTTTTGGGGTTTTTTTTGTGGTACGCGGGCCTCTCACTGTCGTGGCCTCTCCCGGTGTGGAGCACAGGCTCCAGACGCGCAGGCTCAGCGGCCATGGCTCACGGGCCCAGCCGCTCCGCGGCATGTGGGATCCTCCCAGACCGGGGCACGAACCCGTGTCCCCTGCATCGGCAGGCGGACTCTCAACCACTGTGCCACCAGGGAAGCCCTACATTAGTATTTTGAAACTATTTTTTATGTAGTGTAGCACAAAGTAATAATGTTAATGCTATTAGGAACCAAGATTTTTAGCGTAAGAGAAGAGAAATATAAAATCAAAGGCATTCATATAAATAGATTTTATTTATTTATTTATTTTGAACAGGATTGGGAGGACTTTAAATGCCAGACTGAGGAGTTCAGATCTTTTTTTTTTTTTTTTTAATAAATTTATTTATTTATTTTTGGCTGCGTTAGGTCTTCGTTGCTGTGCGCAGGCTTTTCTCTAGTTGTGGCAAGCGGGGGCTACTCTTCATTGCGGTGCGTGGGCTTCTCATTGCAGTGGTTTCTCTTGCTGTGGAGCAGGGGCTGTAGGCGCACGGGCTTCAGTAGATGTGGCGCACAGGCTTCAGTAGATGTGACGCACGGGCTTAGTTGCTCTGCAGCATATGGGATCTTCCCGGACCAGGGCTCAAACCCGTGTCCCCTGTATTGGCAGGAGGATCTTAACCACTGTGCCACCAGGGAAGTCCCTAATAGATTTTAATATTAAATTTGAATTAGAAATATCAGTATATGCTTATGATTTTTTTCTTCTATTTGTATACTTCTCAGAAAGGCCTAGAAGCATTAAAACCCCATGGGCAATGGGCAACCTCTAGTGCCCAGACTGTGGTCCCTAAATGACATTCTGCATTTAAAGGAACCAGGGGGCTTCCCTGGTGGCACAGTGGTTAAGATCCTCCTGCCAATACAGGGGACACGGGTTTGAGCCCTTACTCTGAAAACTGGCAATTTAAGATAAATAAATAAACGTTATCCTGCTTTTCCAATTCAATCTGCATTTCAGGATGACCAAATAGCCCTAATTAATGAGGAAAAGTTCTTCCTTACACACAATTCCCAGCTAATATATGTGAAAGGAATGACAGAATTAGAAAAATCACCATTTTATAATCCTAATGATATAATTTAAGGCAAAGATCAATAAAGGATGAAAGCATTAGATGAAAGGCTTCAAGCCATTTCGTGATGCTGAACTCTTTTAGCTTTTGCTGGTCTGTAAAACTCTTTATCTCTCCTTCAACTCTGAATGATAGCCTTGCTGGGTATTTTTGGTTGTAGGTTTTCTCCTTGCATCACTTTTTTGGGAGCTCATTCTATCAAGAGGCCACTGGTGCTGGCAGGCACCATTTTGGAGTCCTCC